GTCCTGTCCCTCAGTGTTTGTCGGTCCATTGTCTTTGTCAGCGTTGTTTTTTTTTCCCCTCTCTAGTAAACTATAGGATCTGGCTCATGAGTGAGCTTTTGTCTTTGACTTTGGAACTTTAGATTTTTAGACCTCGAGTCTTACAGTCTTTGTTTCTGAGTTCTCATCCTAATAAAAGGATTTTTTTTATTTAAACGACCTCTCCAGCCTTGAGTACTGTGGTGTTCTGCATCTGGGGTCCAGTCCTCCTGCGCTCGCAGCGTGACAACGGGTCTGTGGTTTGCTGCACCCTCTTCAGTACCTGCTTTGATGTGGTTCAAAGATCAACAAGCTGGGCCTAATAAATTACGTCAGAGACCCAGTCCCAATACTCGCACTGCGCCCTACGGTCTTGTGTGAAGTGCACTTGGAGGAAGTGCAGAAAGCGTAGTACACAAGTGTGCCAAAACAGTATAGGGAGCATTGAGTCATCAACCGCGACTCATGCCAGTATGCTGGTCTCTGTTTAGACTACTTAAAAAAAATCTTTATCAAAAAACTTTCAAACAAACACTTATTGACTAAACTGACATGAAATGCTTTCCACATTAAAACATTCAGAGCATTGATAAATGGCGTTAATACCGTAAATCCTCTAATATTAGCCTGTATTTAATTAACTGCCGGGTATCATATTTTGGCCGGTGTCGGAGTCGGCGGAGGTGAATAATGGCAGGTTTTTTATTGTGGCTGGGTGGAATGTGGTAACAAGCAAGTACAGGGGGGGGGGGGGGGGGGTTGTGTCATCTGTCTCACTTTTGATTTGCCAGTGATAGACCCAGAGGCGGTTTTACCATTAGGCATAGGTAGGCGGCCGCCTGGGGCCCCCTTGTGTTGGGGGGCCTCCTAGCCCTGACCACCGGCACCCCTCTGTTAATGCCACAATATTCTTATTACCAGCCTGTGGCCGCAGACGGGATTGGACATGCGCACTTCTCATTACCATAATTCCTGAACCGTTCAAGATATCATAAAAATTCCAAAAGTGCTGAAAAGATTAAAAATGGGGCTTTTCATGCATATACAATACATTACGGTAGCCATCGGGATTCCCTGTCTTGAGCGCACCGAATCACAACACAGATTCAGAGACGTGCTGAGTTTGTCATCCAAAATGCTCCGTTTTATAACTTTTGAATGGCTGATCAGATTCACATAATTCCAACGGTTCCTAAAGGTACATAAAAGCAGCTTTCCAACGATCTATAGCATGAAGCAATCAGAGTTAGGGAAAATATCGCTACGAGGGGAAATCCTGCTGTACAGCCTGATTGAAACGGAGCGCAGCGCCGCGGTGGAAGCGGACAACGGAACGGGGAAGCTAAAAATCTGCATGAAATTATGGAAATGCCTGAAAGAAAATCAGCACAATCTATTAGGTGTCCCAGAAGGCTTATATCTGAAGTCAGTGACCACGAAGAAGGACAGATCTCCAGTGAACCAGGGTATGAATGATTATTCCGTCTTTATTTTTTATTTTTTTATTTGAACAACCCTCAACTATTTGCTAATTGTAAGATTCAGCTTCATTCCAGCATTATTTATCTTTTTACAATAAATAATTATTTTTGCTAAAACAAAAGTTTTTGGTATATCAGTGCACGGTGTGCAAGAGAAGCATCCCATGGCAGTGTGAGGTGTGCAGGACTCTGCCTGCAGCTGGAGAGAAACTGCTTCAAGGTCTACCACATCAAATAAAAACGTCTGAAAGTTTACAAAAATAAATGGTCTTAAGAGATGCTAAAAAAAGATACCAAGGTTCAAACTTTAAAGAATAGATGAATTTCAGTTCAAAGTTTAAATTGTTTGCCCAGTAATATTCAGTAATAAATGTAAAAAAATTCAAATCCGTTTTTTGCTTTTTTCACTTTTAAGCAGATTTTTTAAAGGCTTTAATGGAAATAAATTCTAATTACAAACCATACACTGAAAGCTGAGGTTGTTCTGAAAAAAGGAGAAGAGTTACACACACTTTGTACTTTTCATTACAATTTTACAGCCATAAGATTAAAAACATACCAGGCAGCCCTGTTATAATTATGGTCATAAGAGGATTATTAAGACGGCGATGCACAAACAGGAAGTGATTGGTAGTCGTTCCACTCCAATCCAGTTGGTGGCGGTAATGCACCAAATGGTTTGTTGCCAAGTGCCATAAGACCACAAATAATAAGAAGAAGAGAGGCGGGAGCGTTCGTAACAAACTCAAAGCGATAGTCAAAACTAAGCATGAAATGGAGTTTTCCTAGTGGCTCCAATAAGAGAAAGAAGCATCATGCTTCATAAAAGCTTTTATCTTCACTTCTGAAAGTGACGTCGTTTTTCGATGTAAACATCAAAAGGAAACAGAAAGGAAAGACAATGGAAAATGTTTAAAGGGAGGAAACATAGACCAAAATGGAAAATAGAAAAAAATAAAGGCAAAAGCACAGGAGCACTGACAGGAAAAAGAAAGCAGAGCAAATATTGAAAGCGCTCAAAAGGAGGGAAATACAGGAAAAAAGAGGAGGACTAATAAAAAGGGAAAATAACTCATGTCAGAAGAGGGGAGAGTTTCTCAAATCCAGTTAAAGGTAAGATTGTTGAAAATTTTGTGTAAGGGGCCCCATGTCTGTGTTCGCCTTGGGCCCCCAAATTGCTAAATCCGCCTCTGGATAGACCGCGAGGGTAACTTTAACCGTGCGGAGACGAAGAGGAGGTGAAAATTTGATATCAAGTTCAAAGAGAACGTGCTGATTATGCTGCAGAACACTCTGGGGAGCAGAAGCAGGGGTTGTATGAACTAGTCACTAGTTGACTTCACCGCTCTATAGTGACTCGTTATGCCTGTCATCGACTAGTCGCTGTCACGTGATAATGACCGGCAAGATGCAGTCCACGGAAAAGACAGCAGCCTGCTGTCAGCAGGTGACAGGTGATGCGCTCCGATCCACAGCAGCGAAACGCATCAGGCACAAATAAAAGAATAAAAAAACAGAAAACATAAAAGGAAATGAGCCGACATGAACGATCGCGTGTTAAATTAATTTTTGAGGTGGCGACACCTGATTTGATAACGTTACTGTGGCCGTGCTCAGGACGCAGATGTCTGGAGCGCGTCAACAATCAGAGCTTTGCATGCGCAAGCTGGTTAAGGTTAGGATGGGGGTGAGGGGAATGTTAAATTGCAAGAGGGTGAAGGTCACAATTTGGTTAAATGTCCGTTTTACGGCGGGTGTCAGTACCGACGCTCTGGCACAGCGCGTTGCCTCCCGTGGCCGGCGAGCAGCGGCACTCCGCTGTTTTTGCGTTCGGTAGATCTTTTAGAACTGCAGTTCAAAGGTAACTCATAAGGTAAATATATATGAACCCAGGTAGCAGTTTCTCTTTAGGATTGAGAGGAGATGCAGGAAGATAATAAACAGACAGGACAGAAAAATAGTCAAATAAAAACAAGTTAGTTTTTGTACCTGGTGGTTGCAACAAACAGACACCATAGAAGGTAATCAGAAGTGAGGAACAGAAAATGAAATAATTATTTTAATGTTTAGAGCAGCAGGATCTCCGAGAGGCTGCAGGCGCATCCGTGAGTTTGCGGCCGCTGCGCAGGGGGAGGGGGGAGAGGGCTGAAGCAGGAACTACCGTTGTTAAAAGAAATGTGTTTAACTTTGAAAATGTGGGCGTAATTTTAATTGTCAAAAACTCCAGCGAACCATTAGTTCCTTTTGCTCTAATAGAAATTGAGGCCTGCCTCTAATTCTGGTCCTCCTTCCAATAAAGGCCTGGAGCTTGATGAGCTTGAGTCAAACACAGGCCCGGTCCTGTATTAGAGGATTTACAGTAGTCTCAGAATGAGATTCTTTCATTTTAAAATACATATTTACAGAAAAGATACTTGAGCCATTGCTGGGCCTTTTCCAAAGCAGCAATGGATTGTGGGTAATCCCCTTGGCCGAAATCTACATCAATGTGGACTTGGCGAAGTATTGATCAAGGGTTCACAAAGGGCGTGGTCTACTTCCGCACTGAGAATTGGAACGCCCTATGCACTTGCACCCCTGGACAGGATCGCACAATTGAAGGGCGCAAGTGTGACTATCAGGACTGGGCCAGAGACTGTCAGTAGGGGGGCGGAGTCACTGGTTGCTCCAGAACTTTCCGTCTTGACAGGTTTCTTGTGTTCAACATCACCACCGTGACTTTCATTAATCACCTCACGCCACTTTTTGAACTCCCGATCAGTTTCTCCAATGTAACAAAAAACCACCTGGACCGTGCTTAGTTGGGTTGATTTCTGTTTTGGTGCAAAACTCCTTATTTGGTAGAGATTTAGGTTACATTTTCTAACATACCTGCCTGTTAAGGAAGGACAGTAGGCCCAGCTGCTTCATTCTTTGTGCTCAGCTCCATAATACCACGAGGATGGATGGACACAGGGATGGATGGATGGATGCTATAATTTTCTGGAGCAGATTTATTGAACAAAGTGACTTACAAACGCTGGGTTTATCTATAAAAACAAACCTCCAAATGTTCTTAACTTGATTTGGCTCCACGCTGTGAAAGTTTTACACACCAGAAGTGGTCCAGAATGAGATGAAGGTGGAGCTGCAGAGAAATCTATCCAGATAGTAAAAACAAACCCATTTGTCCTGATGGATTTCAAACCACTGAATTGTTTTCATTGGAATCACTTTGCATCAGTGAACAATGAAAGCTGTATGCTCACAAGCCTCTTCAAAATAAAAGCACAAACTTTGTTGATGAATTAAAATTGTAAAAATAATGTTTAAAGGTGTTAGATTATTTGGTGAAATAAAACATGCATCACAGTTGTCCCAATAAAAGACCAACTAAAATAAAATAACCAGGTTGTGTTTATGCTGTAAAACCTTATTTTGAATGTTGCAACAGGAAGTAGGATTCTCTGAGTCTCTGTAGCTGCTCACCTCCTACAGACTGTTCTGTCAGAGTTCCTTGAGAAGACCGGACCTGCTCTATACACCTGGACCTGTGGCACATGTGGAACCTGCTGCTGCTTCTTTGTGGAATATCTCACGCATTTTCTTTCTAAACAAACAGGTAAAAACTCACATCTGTCTTCTGTTATTAATAAATAGACATTTAATTTTTGTAGTAATTTTCCAGACCCTAGAATCCAGAATAGTCCTCCTTGGTACACTCAGACCCAGGATGTTCATAACAAAATGTTTTTTCTTCTTGGCTTTTGATTCAGGCTCACTTGGACGCCTTTATTTGACTTTTACTAATTAAATATTAGTTTAATGGTGAGCTTTAACAATTTATTTTACACAGATCTTTATTATATTCCATACTTTCATAGCTATGTGTTTACTTCTGTCTGTTCAGCACGTTGACTGACTTGTTGTTTTAAAAGGGTTTGATCAATAAAGTTTAGAGTTTAGTGTGGAGTGAGTTTGGATCAGAGAGAAGGTGCAGAAATATGAGCACATGAATCAGAAAATGAATGTTTGCAGTCTGTGGCTAGTTTCATACTTTATAGATAGGTGGGTGGATGGAGGGTGAAGGTTCTGTGCAATGGAGTAGCGGTCTGATACCTGTCAGTGGTCCATTATGTGTGCCCTCTGATACCCGATCATCAGGTTGGACTTCATACATACCTGTCACCTTCAACTCCTGGCTAATACTTTTAGTTTTTATTTGTGGTGTTTCATTTGATTGACTAGAATCAATTGTTTTCTTGTATTGTTTGTTGACATTTGTTTCAAACACTAATAGAGCAGTGGTTAGACCTTTTAGGAGCAGCTCTGCTGATGAAATCCTACTTTATAATTAGAACTATGAGTGTATTTATTCATCTGGTGTTGCACAGCTGAAATGGGAGGTTTCTCAGCGATCTGTCCTGAGCCCCTTGCTTTTCTCTTTTTTTCTGCTCCCCTAGGATTGATCTTTCACAAGAACAACAATATTTTTCACTCGTATGCCAAGGACTGCCAGCTTTACCTACCAATCAAAGATGGTTGTCGGACTCCGTGAGGCTCTGTAATGCTGCTGCTTTGGGCCCTGGCAGGATGGGCTGGGGTCTCCATGCCCTGGGTGGCAGTTTGACAACAGAGGTGCCTATTCGGGCCAGTAGGGGAGCTGGCTCCCTGGAGGGCTAAGCCCAACCAGCCATTCCTCCCCATCCCCTCATATTTCTTTCCTCCTGCTCCCTCACATCATCACACAAACATACACATAGGACCTTGGGGGGTGGGCAAGTCAGGGAGTGCGGGTATGGACCCCATTCCCGCATTCCTGTGGCAACCTGCCCCCCAATTTTATTTGCACCTTATACACTTCCACTGACGACATTCCACACAAACACACACTTAGGGCCTTGGGAGTGAGCACATTCAACGGCATTTGGCAGGGGGATATTTCAGCCTCCTCCCGAGTGCCGGTGCCCACTTCCAATTTTAAACCGCACTTAGACACTGATGGCTGAGGGTGTAAGTGGGGTCGTGCGGTGGCATCAGCTGGCATAGGCTGGATGATGCCCGCGCTGCCCGCTCACCACAGCCATGGATTACACCTCATGATCACACAACACTATATTGGAGCAGGCGGAGGGAGACTAGGGGTCTCAGCCACATCTGTTGTTGCTAGGCTTCCTGGGGCTGGAGGCTAGGAGGGAGATCTGGCCGTCTGGTTGGGGTCTGGGGTGGTGGGTTGCTGTGCTCAGCGTTGGGCGGGGGAGCCTGCTCATCAGCACCCCAGCAGAAAGGGTCAAACTCTGGTTACCGGTGATGGTTGTACCCCATGTGCAGCAGTACTGGGACCAGAGTGAATAGGGTGTGTATGGGGAGCATGAGTGGGTGTCCGGCGTGCATTTTTGTAAGTCTTGGGTTGTATGTGCATGTGTGAGCATGAGGGAGGGAGTGTGTGACTGTGTTTGTGTATGACTGTATATGTCAGGTGGGGCCTTTGGGTCCTCCCCTCTCCTGGAACTTCTCTTGATGATATAGATCTTTGTCCCCCCTCCCCCTGCCACACCTGGTGTGGGGGCTTGTGCCAAGGTCTGCCTGAGTGTTCGTGGCAACCGGGTCTGGGGGTTTAAGATTTTGGCATCTGCCTGATAGATCCCGGTGGCTGCCTGGTGGGGTCTGGGTCCCGGGTCGCTGGGTCCCGGGCTCGGCCGGCTAGGGGGTGGGAGGCTGCGGGCAGGCCTGTGGGCTTGCCGCTGATATCTCCAGGGACTCTGCCGGCTGCTGGTTGTGGCCCCCCGGGGCGATCCTCTGTGCCTCTCGAGGGGGGCGGGGGCCTTCCTGGTTGCAGTCTCCTTGGGGTTCCTGCGTTCTGGGGCAGCGCCTGGATCTCTGGGACTTGGAGCTCGCCCCGTCTCCTGCGCATCTTTGGGGGCCGGATCTGTGGTCCCTCACACTCTCTGTTGGACGCTCCTATAGAGAAACCTTAAATAAACAAGCGCGTGTACACACACAGGTGCTCACATGATGCTCTCAAAAGTATGGGCTTGGGCACGTTCAACACAGGTCTTAAGACTATGGTGGGCACTTAATGCATTGTGATTTATTGTCGTGATTCTTCAGTTAAGCAATGTTGATTATACATATGTATATATATTTTTTTTCATCAAGTTGACGCAGTGATAGGTAGATCTTGTTGTATTGTTGTTGTGTCCCTTTTTTTGTGTCCTTTTGTTTTTTTTTTTGTCTTTTTCTGCAGGTCTAGAAGCAGACTCTTGTTCATTGTTTTTTTTTTGTGGACCCCCCCCCCCCCCCCCCCTCCTCTCTCTCCACCTTTTCTCTTCCTTTCTCTTTCACCTCTGTCTCCGTGTCTGGTCGGAATTACAAAGCATTCAACAACAATAACAATAAAGTTTTAAGTATCAGGCATGACATTAAAAGCAAACGCTTTGATGCTCCACCTGAGAGTAAATCTGTAAGGCTTGTCACCAGCATTCAGACATCAATTCTGCTTGCTTCACAGTCAGACAGGACACGGTAAAAAAAAAAAAAAAAAAAAAAAAAGATGGTTGTTGAGCTTAATTTTGTCTCTGGATGAGTGTGTGAATGATGTACATTCATGGCTGGTTGCCAGCCTCCTAAATTTTATTGAGAGTAAAACTGAAGTCAGTTTTTTCATGAAATGACCGCCAGTCTTAGAGTCTGAACCTCTTGCCATAGACCCCTTTTGTGCACAAAATGATTACTGACCTCGGTGTGAGGCTGGACTCCACGCTGATTCGATGCACAGGTGAACACAGTGGTGAGATCCTGCTTCTTTGAGCTCGCTGGTGCCTTTCCAGGATTAAGTCCAAGTTTTCAAAAAAGAATCTTGCAATTGTAACATGTGCATTTGTAATCTCCAGCATTGACTTCTGTAACTCCCTTTATGCCAGACAAAATAAATCAACACTTTCAAGGCTTCGGATGGTCAAGAATGCTGCAGCGAGGTTCATCTCTGGGGTAAAAAATGAGAGAGCATCTCTCCAATTCTAATTGCTCTGCGGTGGCTTCTGGTAAAATACTGCATAGAAATTAAAGGTGTGGAATAGAAAAAAAAATTTAGAATCTTATTTCTGATTTTAATCAATCACTCTGGGTTTTTCATGCAGGCTGAACATGAAAACAGTCTCCTACACCCGTCTCCTGCATTAGCTTCTGATGGATTAGCCTGACAGATCTACATCACGCTGTGCCTTAACATTCACTGACTTGCCCATGTTGACTCATGACCGGGAAGACTGTTATTGGTTTAGCGTCCAGGAAACAACAAAACATCTCAGCTAGTAGAAGCTGACTGTTAGCATTTGCAAGTTCACCACATGGCAGAACTCCTCCAGGCTTGTGTTAATTGTGGAGATAAAACATTCACGTTGCAAGTCAGTGTTAGGGTTACATTGCTGTTAGCCAATCTAAGACAAGATGTCTAAATGCCAGTAATAAGCCTCCAAATCCTGCCATCTGTCGCTCAGCTGTGATGTGACAATCTTCTAGTTCCTGGAAATGGTGCACTATCGTGTTTTGACCCCTGAGTACAACTTACAAGGCATTCATTCATACTAGAGACGCCTGTGTAATGTACAGAAATGGTCATTGTTCGTCTACAGACTGACCTACATGCCATCGGTCAGCTGCAGACATAAATCTGCCTCCGTGCATCTGTTAATCTTCCAAGTTACAGGAAAAGTTTCAACACTGCGTGTTTACACTCAGATTGACAAGACTTCAACATCATGTTCCCTTCTCAAGGTCCTTATGTGTCAAGCCTGTCCACTTATCTAGGCCGGACTGGACTGTTATAAGAGTGATAATTATAATTATAATTATAATAATAATAATTATTATTATTATTATTACCTCACTGCCTTATTGTTTTATGTGGCTCAGGCATTGTATTTTTATAACAAGGTGATCTGCTCCTTTTTTTTTACTGCTTTTGTCCGTATTTTACCACACCTTGGTTGGTGGCTGGAAGTGGCTTTTTAAATATATAAAAATGAATGAATTAATGAATGAATGAGCATTCCATTTGTGTTAGTGGTTGTTGAACAAACCACTTAAAAAGGTCCTTAGTTGCTTTGAAGCTGATATACAGACAATTAGTGATTGTTCCCTAACATCAGGTAGTTTTCCTAAATCACTGAAAACTGTTGTTAAGCCTCTTCTAAAGAAGAGAAAATTAGATCCCTTACTGATGAATAACTACAAACCATTCATTGGGAAAATTACTGTAAAAGCTGTTAGGATCCAGCTGAACAGCTTTTTAGACACAAAAAAATCCTAGGTGGTTTTCAGTCAGGCTTTGGACAACACCAATGATATTTGTGTCAGTATGGATTCAAAACATCTGTTCTGGTGATGCTCGATCTCAATGCAGCTTTTGACACTGTCGACCACAACATCCTTCTTGAATTCCTGGGTGGGACTATGAGACACAGTCGGTTCCAATCTTATCTTAAAGACAGGGGTCATGTTGTCTCTTTTGGTGATCACAAATCAAAGCTGATCACCATGACATGTGGGGTCCCCCAAGGCTCAATTCTTGGACCACTGCTCTTCAATCTCTACACGCCCCCCCCTAGGTCAGGTCATATGCAACAACAATATTGTCGATAATACTTATGCAGATGACACCCAGATCTACCTAGCTCTATCACCTAGTGACTATAGTCCCCTAGACTCACTCTATCAGTGTTTGGAGCAAGTCAATGACTAGATGCAGTCAGACTTCCTCCAGTTAAACAAAGACCAGACAGAATTTATTGTCTTTGGAAATAAGAAGGATAGGATGGAGGTCATTGCTCAGCTTGGCTCCAGAGGAATAAAGACAAAGACTCAGGTTAGAAATCTTGGTGTCATAATTGATTCAGACCTGAGCTTCACTGGTCACACTAAGGTTATAACTAGATCAGCGTTTTATCATCTGCATCAAACAGCACGACCCAGTGGTCTCATGTCCAGACCAGACCTAGAGAAACTCATTCATGCATTCATCTCTAGCAGGCTGGACTATTGCAATGGTCTTTTGACTGGTCTCCCCATAAAGCTGTGAAACAACTGCAGCTCGTTCAGAATGCTGCTGCTAGAGTCTTAACAAGAACCAAGAGAACCAAACACATCACTCCTGTTCTTAAATCTCTACACTGGTTACCAGTAAACTACAGAATCGATTTCAAAGTGCTTCTACTAGTTTATAAATCTCTCAGTGACATGGGGCCAGAATACGTGTCAGATCTACTTCAGGTATAAATGCCCATCAAGGCTCTAAGATCCTTAGGAAACCATCAGCTGGTAGAACCCCGGGTCAGAACCAAACAGCTACTATGCTGCACACAGATGGAGTCAGCTTCCTCATGACCTCAAATGTGCCCCAACTCTAGTAACTTTTATATCACACTCGAAAATATTAATGTATTCACTAGCCTTTAAATGTTTCTCATGCTGCACCTTCTGCACTGCAACTTTACCTTTTTATCTTATTCTTGTATTTAATTTAATTTGTTTAATTTAAAATAAAAAATATTTCTAAATCTGCAGTTTTAAGTTGTCACGTTGATTGTAATGTTTCATGTTCTTGCTGATCTTGCTCCTAGAACTGCTTCTGTGTATGAAATGTGCCACATGAATAAAGCTGCCTTGCCTTTCAAGACGTAAACAACTTTGTTTTTTTTTTCAAACCTCTTATAACCGTTTTTGCAACAGCACCTTTGTGACCAGCGCTGATGGTTGATTCTGTGTGAAATCCAGATGTCGAGTCTGTGAGTAACCCTCTCATCTTCATCTGGTGTTAAATCACCTTCTCTGCTTCTTTCAGCTAGTCAAGAATTACATGGATGTTTCAAAACTTCTGGAGATTTTGGTTCTGACTCTGGCTCTGTTAGACCCGATTCAGTGCCACAGCAGAAAGAGGAAAGGTCAGAGAGATGACAACCAGGCTGCCCAGTACAAGACCAAACGTGAGTGGATTTACATTTTAACAAGAAACTTTTACTACAAAATAAACAAAACTTGTGAGACAACATTAGATACCATAAATCCTCTAATACAGGTCCGGGCCTGTATTTGACTCAAGCTCATCAAGCTCCAGGCCTTTATTGGAAGGAGGGCCAGTATTAGAGGCAGGCCTCTATTTCTATTTGAGCAAAATGAACTAATGGTTCACTGGAGTTTTTGACAATTAAAAGTGCGCCCACATTTTCAAAGTTAAACACATTTCTTTTAACAACGGTAGTTCCTGCTTCAGCCCTCTCCCCCCTCCCCCTGCACAGCTGCCGCAAACTCACTGATGTGCCTGCAGCCTCTCGGAGTTCCTGCTGCTCTAAACATTAAAATAATTATTTCATTTTCTGTTCCTCACTTCTGATTACCTTCAATGGTGTCTGTTTGTTGCAACCACCAGGTACAAAAACTAACTTGTTTTTATTTGACTATTTTTCTGTCCTGTCTGTATATTATCTTCCTGCATCTCCTCTCAATCCTAAAGAGAAACTGCTACCTGCCTTCATATATATTCACCTCATGAGTTACCTTTGAACTGCAGTTCTAAAAGATCTACCGACCGCAAAAACAGCGGAGCGCTTGCTGTTTGGCGGCTGTATCAGTGATCAGTGCGTCGGAGGACAAGGGGATGCGCGCAGCGTCCCGCTCCACAGCATGCAGCGAAACACATCAGGCGCAAATAAAAGACAGAAAACATTAAAGGAAATGAACTGACATGAACAATCGCGTGTTAAATTAATTTTTGAGGTGGCGACACCTGATTGTTCCTGTGGCCGTGCTCAGGAGGCAGATCTACTGACCGCGAAAACAGCTGAGCGCTCCCTGCTGTGATCTGTGCGTCGGAGGACAAGTTGATGCGCCCCGCTCCACAGCAGCGATACACATCAGGCGCAAATAAAAGACAGAAAACATTAAAGGAAATGAACCGACATGAACGATCGCGTGTCAGTACCTACGGTCTGGCACTTGAGTTTTACCCCCAAAAAGAGAATCTGATCATACGATAATTCAATAGGGAGCGTGGTTTCACAGACGCGGAAGTGATAGCGTCGGTGAAACGCCGGCTGCTCTAGGAAACCCCCGAGCGTTCGAGCGTCAACGAAGTGACACGGAAATGCCGGGCTTTCCAGAAGTAAGTAAGATAACTTACTATGAGCTGATAGTTCGTTGGATTGATCGGTAGGTTGGAAACTCTGATCGTGAATCTGAAGAAACGATGACTGAGTGGTGAGCTGGAAAGGCGACTTCCGTTTATAGCCGCGGTTTGTGACGTGGGTGCGACGTGAAGGGAATCCCCGCGAGGGGCATGCTGGGAGTCCCTACTTCGTGGATTTTCATCTATCGCGGCCAGGTCTGGAACGCATCTACCGCGATAAACGAGGGATTACTGTAGTTCATACACCCCCTACTGCTGCTCTCCAGAGTGTTCTGCAGCATAATCAGCACGTTCTCTTTGAACTTGATAGTGTTATGACCTGGCTGGGGTTGTAAGCCAGGTGCATTCTGGGTATTGTGTTATATGTGTTTCCTATCGTTCTGCTAGTTCCTATGTGTTGATTTGCGTGTTGTGTGAGTGTTATGTAAGCCACAGGGAAGGTGATGTGTGTTCTGTGGAGCGGGTTGAATTAGCATGGTTAACTGACACCTTGACTCTGTGTGGTAGGAGCGTGATAGAGGATCGTGTCTGTAGCGTCACAAAGCGTTGAAGAAAAGATCTAAAAAAGGTCTGCGTGAACTTCTACTGCCTCCTGCTGGTTGATTTGGGGACTATAACCCTGCCGCTGGGGCGCTCGTACTCGCTTGTTACCACATTCCATCCGGCCACAATAAGAGACCGGCCATTATTTACCTCCACTGACTCAGACACCGGCCAGAATTGGAGACCCAGCCTTTAATTGAATACCGGCCTGTATTAGAGGATTTACGGTATATTTATTTGGTCCAGAAGAGCTACACCTCCATCATTTCTCGGCTTTAGGTAATCTTAGTTAAAGATCAAGTCCACTTGTTTTTTCAACACATCTGCAGTTGTCTTGTACAAATGAATGCGTTGTGAGTCAACCTGTGGGGGGGGTGGGGGGTGGGGGTGGGTGGTTGTGGGGGTGGGGAGCTCTGGCACTCCTGTTTCAGGAAGTATAAGTGAGCCAGAGCAGAGGTGAGCAGAAGACAGCGGGAATTAGTCTTACTTCCTGATATTCGGACATCTCACCTCTGATTGGCTAACAGCAATGTTGAAGTTTTATCTCCATTAATAACACAAGCCTGAAAAAGTTCTGCTGTGTTGTGAAGTTGCTAATGCTAAGGGTTAGCTTCTACTAGTGAAGATGCTAAATAGTCAACAGCCTTCCCCGATGCTAGCTAACATGGGTGAGTCCATTAATGCTAATTTATAATGTGACATGGAATTGGTTGGCATGTTCAAATACATTTCATGCACTAGCTAATGCAGGAAATGGGATAGAAGATTATATTCGCATTTAGCCTATATGTTCAACTCAGAGTGGCTGATCACATTTCAAAAATAAGTAAAAACGTTTTCAGGGCTTGATTTACATTGTCCCACTGGAAAATATTCAACAGATCAGGAGGGGTTTCTTGTTCTAAAAAACTTAAGCGCTTTTAAATCAGAGGGTAACTGCAGCTATTGTCTCTTCACACAGCCCTCATCTGCCCGTTGGAGATCATGTTCATAGTTGACGGTTCTGAGAAAGCCAAATCCCTGCTGTTTGACCAACAGAAGGAGTTTATTCTGCGATTTAGCACCAGGCTAACACAGCTCAGCTCAGCTGGTTGGCGTCTACGACTGCGCTTGGCAGCATTACAGTACAGCAACAAAATCTCTCTGGAGCACAACTTCAGAGACTGGCAGGATTTGGACGTCTTCCAGAGTCGGGTGGCCTCCATGGATTTCATCGGTCATGGCACCTACTCAGCCTATGCCATCACCAATGCAACCAAGCTGTTCAGGGAGGAGACATCCTCCAGCAGCCTGCGGGTGGCGCTGCTAATGACGGACGGAGTGGACCACCCACGAAGCCCGAGTGCTGTGGAAGCAGCTGAAGAGGCCAAACTGCACAACATCAGGGTGTTCACCATCAGGCTGTCAGGACCACACAGACAGGGCGCCATGGGGAGCATGTTGCGATCCATTGCCAGTGCACCCCCACAGCAGCATGTCCTCAGTCTCACCGACACCAAGCTGGATGAGAGACTCTTCTCTGAACTGGTGAGTGATGACTGTGTGTTTGATTTCAGAATCAGGGTGACTTGTTGTAAGCATGTCAAAGACATGGAAGACAATTGTGTTGGTGCTGCTGTAACAAGTCAATTTCCCCACTGTGGGATCAATAAATTCTATTCTATTCTATAAAGGACCTAAAGTTATTGAGGAAATCAGATTGCAGTGAGCAAAGAGCAGAGGACAGCTTAGAAATTGACCATTTCTGGACATTACAGAGGTCATGAACATTACAGCCTCAGGCAAGAGGCTGTTCCTTCGCCTTGTCTGCGGTCTTTGCCACATTGGTGCTAATTGTTCAGGTTCCTCTGCCTCCCTGTGTACACACATATACACCCTCTAAGACACATAATTAATGTGTTTCACAATCCCTCCTATCACCTAGAGTACTGTGAGAAGCTTTAGGCTTGTGTGAGAAAATGCTGTCAACAAATAATACTTTCAGACAAATAAATGAAGATTGTTTATTTTCATCAATTTGCAAAATACAAAGTGAGTGAAGACAAACAGACAGCTGAAGGTATTGGGAAGTCCTGGAAGTGATGGTATGGCCCCCAAAGAGCCCTGATCTCAACATCGTGGTGTGTCATGAAGACAGAAGGATGTGAGGAAGCCTACATTCACAGAAGATCTGTGGTTATTTCTCCTAGATGTTTAGAACAACCTACCAGCCCAGTTCCTTCAACGACTGTGTTCATGTGTAGCTAGAAGAACTGATGCCGTTATGATAGCAAAGGGTGGTCACACCAAGTATTGATTTAATTTAGATTTCTCTTTTGTTCATTTATTGCTTTTTACTGATTAATGAAAATAAATGTTTAACATTTCCGTTCCTGAAATCATTTTTTGTTTACAGCATTTCCCTTCACCTGCCTAAAACATTTTCACATTACTCTAGAGCAGGGGTGTCAAACTCAAACTCACAAGGGGCCGAAATGAAACTCTGGGACGGAGTCGAGGGCCAAAGTTAATATTTTTGAAAAAGTGACGGCAAATTTGCACATTTTCTTTATCAACATATATGCAATTTTGAACTTTTTAATTTGGAAACAAACTTATTTCTGCATTAACACTGAATGTGGAATAACCAAATTACACACGAGCAAGTCAGTTTTAAATAAAAGGCATCAGTGGTATTCATTACTTGTGGTATAATCAGCATTTTTAAAATCTATTCAGGATTTATGTTTTCTTGTTTATTCATTTTTCTTATGTTTTATTCTCTTTTTTTCTCCTGTAATACGTGTCATCGCTGCTGTGACATCTAGCTTTCCCCACTGAGGAACAATAAAGGGATTTTCTATTCTATTCATCTATCTGCAGCCTTTCCACTTCCTGTTTACTGTAGGTTAAATCTTTTCTCACGGGCCAACAACAAAATAAAAATATCGTTTTATCTTAAATGAAAATGCAACATCTCACCTGTTAACTTTCATGTTTTGGAGCAGAAAAAGAGCAGAAAACCAACATATTTAAAGCTCGGTTTGCTCCACTGGTTTACTGTGATGCTCACCTGTTCCAGCCAGATACCTGCATCATGGGGTTGATCTGAGCTGAGGAGGAGACTCCTGTTGTTGTGTTCATCTTCATCATAATAATGACAACATCAGATGACAACAGGTGCTCACATAGGTTTGTGCTGATGACCATGTCTGAGCAGCTTGACCACGTTGTTGTGTGTCGGGGAGGAAACACAACGACAGCAACCACAGAGTCGTGCTGGTTTGAGTGTGTCGCTGCTCGCTGCTGGAGTTATATCGGCTCTGTCTGGACGTTAGTTGGAACACTTTTTCTTTCAGTCGTGAACACATCACTGAGCGATTAAAATCTCCGTTTCTGGGCTTCAACGTCAGAAAATAGCTGAGTGAACTCGGCGCTGAGTGAGAGGAGTGTAGTTTGTCCGAGACAGAGGAGCTGCAGAGACTGGCAGCAGGCGGAAAAAACACAAAGGAGGGGGCTTCGTCGGCTCCGCGCTGACGCCGCAAAGCATCATGGGAGTTGAAGTCTTTGTGGTAAAATCGGCCAGCGGGCCCGTTTTAATATATTTTTGATATTTATCTCCCGGGCCACATAAAAATGCTCCGCAGGCCGCATCTGGCCCGCGGGCCTTGAGTCTGACATATGTGCTCTAGACTCAAACCAACAACAGCAGTGTCATCTGCAAAAGTACAAATATGTTAACCACGAGATCTAACAGAGCAATCATCTGTGAGTAGTGAATACTAGAAGGGACACAAAACCCATCCTGGTGGAACACCAGTGTTGAGTAGTGGAAGAGAAGCCAGCGTTCCCTTCAGAACAGTCTGACAGGAGAAGCGAGTAGATGTTTTCTGAAGCTCAATAAATGTATTGGCCCTAAGGTTTGATTCACATGGCAGGATTTTTAAATTGAATGACCCGCACTTGGATAGTGCCTTTCTGAGTCAGAGGACTCCAAAAGGGCTTTACACTGAAGTCATTCACCCATTCACACACATTCACAATCTACACACAAACTGGTTTCATTTATGAACACTCCCCGGTCAGGTGGGAAATCTTGCAAAACCATTCAAGATCAAATGTGCCAAATATGGTGGAGGAGAAGCATTCTGCATGCGTCCGCCACTTCCCGTTCTCATTGGCTACAAGTGACATTCATATGGCTGCACACTCGTTAGTCCTCAAAATTGGATCCAAATACAATCCGACATGTTAAATATCTTTGTTTCATGAACAGAGGTCTGAACGTCCTTCAGAGGAGACCAAAGCAGGTCAAACATTGGCGTAATTATTTTGCCGTATAAACTCGGCCTTAGCTCCACACTTTACATTTTATAGTGATTCTGCTCACTGTTCTTTTGTTTGTTTGTTTTCAGAGTACCATTGTGACGACTGGGGTAGGAGGCACAATCTCTTTTCTTCCAAATAAACATTTACTCTGATAACCTTTAAAATGTTGTAGTAATGTTTAAAGCATAATCATATGTGTGTTCCAGTGCCCACAACCAAAGACCTGCATCTGTGAGAAAGGAGAAACAGGTCACCCAGGGGTTCTGGTGAGTGTCTTACATACTCCTTGTCCTTACTGAACACAGCGCTGTTTGGCTTTTCGAGGTCAAACTCACACGACTCTAGTGAGTGTGTTCGCCATTGCGTGGGTAGGGGAGGGGACACCCACAGAGCTTGCAGGCTTTATACTTGTGTAACTTTTTATGTATTAGTATTTTTAGTACAGAACTTTTGGTATGGCACAGGTGTGTACCAGGCTCCCACAAAGATGTGCAACTGTGTTGCACACGTTAGCCATTAGCTAGCGATACATGCAGCCGTTTCCAAATTTACGAGCATCCTTTGAAAATCTGACCTACCCGGTTGGTTGGAGTCCTTGGTTGACTGGGAAGAACAGAAGTGAACTGCTGTGAAACTGGGTCAGTCGTACTTCAGTGCTAAACAGAACTTAGCAGCATTACGAGACCTGCTAATGAGCTACCTCTGTCTGTGGAAACACTGTACCTTCATCCTGCACACCTTTAAATGCCCCGTGGAAGTAATACTTTTAAACATAGCTTTTACTGATTTGTTCCATCTTACGTATCCAAGGGGTCAATTTTTCACCTAATTGACACAACATAAACCTTTCATGCACAAACAAGGCTACGCCATCTGTCGGGGCCTAGACTCCCAAAACAACCCTTTGCCCACTTATTGTTAATCAAAGGAGACACAAAAATTGTCTCATTCATGGTCTACTGCAAAAGTCTGTGCAAAAGCCAGATTTCACTGTTCTTCACTCTGAATTAAGTGAAGCCTACATGGCTTTACAACCCATAAGCTTAAACAATCATATGTGTTGGATGAACAAGATTTTTAAATAAAATGTTTGAATAATCTGTGCTTAAATCAATGAATTTAAAATGAATATTGTTCTTACAATGATCCATTCATTTCAGGTGTCACGTACATCCAATCAGTATGTGCTGATTTAACAAGTTAATCCATGTTTACACTCATACACATTACAATAAGTTATGTAAGGTTAATATTCACCTCACATAAGAGTTTTAAAACATCTTTGTATCTGAAGAAGGCATGGTTTTCTGGGGGATGTTGGTAAGCTCTCAAGATATGGCACATTCTGATTTACCAGAATGCGCCAGAATTTATAAACAATGAGTTCATTAAAACAAAAATTACTTCCCGATTCATTCTGTTTCTTGCTGACTCTTGAACCAGCCAATTCGGGAACAAGCATTTTTGAGACATCTCTTTTGACCTCCAGTCAAGAGCTTCTTAGCATGCTGCAAGCTGACACAGCCCAAATGGCTCTTTTAAGAGCCAAACGTCAACCTTGGATGCTAACAAGCTTTCCAGCTCACGGTTGTGACCTGGGGATAGCTCAAGACCGGACGGGTCGTATCGGATCTAGTTAATGGGCTCCAGATACCTTGAGGTCAAGGTCCACCCGAGTTCTGACAGTTTGGATCTGCTGAGGGTCTCCACGAGGGCAAAGTAGACTCAACAGATTATGTCTGATGAATTTTATCACCAAACATTTCTCTAGTTTATAGAGAACTATCAACTTCTTTTGCAACCCAGACTTCACAGATTCTCTCAGATACAAATAATGGTTTTGCTACAACATCTAGCTTCCATTACAACATTTCACACATCACATGAAATCACTCCAGATCCATCACACCACATCTCATTATTCACGTCTTGTCATGTGTAATTATTAGTTTAGGAAAAAGAATTAAATTCATTTTATAAACTATATACCTGACTCTGTCTGAATTAATACAAAGTGTGTTGATGGTCCTGTAAAGTAACTATAATCTTCTGATTACACATTCAAAGATCAATCAGGTTGATATTTCATATTCATTTCTTTACATCCATATTCAACCATTTATTTGTACCTGAAGGTAAATTTTCTCTGCAGTGAGTTGGGGCACAGCACATAACAGACACATCATAAAAGCTGAAACTTATTTAGAAGGTTTGCATTTTGTTTTTCATTGCAGCACTTCAAATCTGCATCCTGATAGAAGGAGCTAGAGCTCACAAGTGGGTGAGAGGCACCTCAGAATGGATCAACTTTTGGTATCCTCTGTACCTGTGATTTACCAGGGTTCAGCTGATGTTCCCATCAGCTCACTGGACCACCTGATTGTTTAAATCTTTATCCATTACTAGGCCGGTTTCCTGGTCCATCAGGATAAATCTATTCTTTCAGGCCGCTCACTATGCTCTCCCACCCTGGCTGACTAGCACGGAATATTATGGCAGCCTAAACCGGCGCTCTCTAGTTGCAAGTGCAGTCGGCTTGTTTTCAAAGTCAAATATGTGAAAAGGACAGATTTCCCACAATGCAATTGTAGCAGGTGAGGAGCGGATTGTTTTAAGAAGAACAGTACTGAAGAGAAGCTGCTGGGAAGAACCAAAGGTCAATGATGGATGATTAGACATGAGCAAACACACAGGCTGCAGTGGTCGAAAAACCAGCAGTCCAAGTCTGTATTAGGCTGAGGTCAAAAAGCAGGTCACACTAAATCTAACACATCAGGAAACCTTGAAATTTGTTGAAGGTCAGCTTCCAGAAATACTGACACAATGCAAGGATAACACACGTTCCTTTACACAGGGGCTCATTGAGCTGGAGATGGGACTTTCTCGTGGAATCGAGCAGGAAATCAAGTAAAAAATAAAGTTCTAATGCCATATATACCATACAAAACTATGGCTGTTAGTTAAAGGACGTTGTATTCTAGTTGTGCCCTAAGCTTCAGTCTCAAAGACTGAATAGGAGCACTATTCTTGTTGCCAGAATTTTGTGGGTCCAAAGTTTAAATGATAAAGAATAAGTGACCCACACTTGTATAGCGCCTTTCCGAGTCAGAGGACTCCAAAGTGCTTTATCATTCACCCATTCACATGCACACATTCACACACTGGTGGTGATGAGCTATAATGTAGCCGCAGCTGCCCTGGGGCTCACTGATAGAAGCAAGGCTGCCGAGCACAGGCACCATCAGTGGCTCCGGCCACCACCAGCAGGCAAGGCAGGGTAAGTGTCTTGCTCAGGGACACAAAAGCAGCATTCTCTGCTGGGAGCCGGAGTCAACCTTACATCCTTCCGATTGCTGGAAAACTCGCTCTACCTCCTGAGCTCCTGCTGTAGGACCATTTAGTGACCACTGATTTGGTGAAGGTTACAGACCCTCCTGCACCTGACCCTCAGACAGCTTAATCACAGTTTGGACACATGAAAAACCTTCACACTGACTTGTTCCAATTTGAGTTTTGAGAGTTTCTTCCTAAAACTTTGAGTCTCCATATATTTGTCAACATTCAGTAAAGCAACTGAGGGAAACTGATGTGTGACAGGCTGGACTGGATCGCCTGAATTAAGGGACTGAGTAACCATTTTTTTTCTTAAAGACACAAAAAGAAGGATATCCTTATTAATTTAAGTGAGCAATAAAGCATCGCTCAGACCTCAGCAACCAAGTTGAAAAAGGTGTTTAATGTTTCTTGTTATGTTATTTTCCTTTAGGGAAAACCAGGTGAACCAGGGTCAGTAGGAGTGCCTGGCCCAAAGGGATCTTCTGTAAGGTTCTTTATATTTAACCATCTATAATACTGTTTATGAAGGAATTGTTCAAATCTGCTTGAAAAAGTGTTTAGTTTGGGTTTTGTTTCTCTTCAGGGAGAACATGGTCTCAATGGACGTCCAGGACCGGAAGGCCTTCGGGTAATTATTCATTTAAAAGACAGATAAAGACGCAGCCAGGCATTTCCTGTGTGATTATCTGAAGGTGCTGGATGAGCTCACTCCTAAAGACCAGAGTGAGCTCATCCAGCACCTGTTTGAGCTGACTCCAGGGTTGGAGCAGTGTTGTTTTTGTCCGTGATGAGGGAATTGTTTCACTGATGCCCCTTTTTCTCATGACAATAATAACTTTACTCTTTGGTGACTAAATTATGAAAGTTTTTGTTACTTGGATCAGACTAGATGAAAATTATGTTCAAATCCACATTGATGAATGTCTGTCAAAGCTAAAAAACTATCAGTGATGCTGATAGGTCTTTTTAGCCACGCCCACCACCTGGCACGCAGCGGCTGTGCGCGTTCTGTATAACAGACATAAGTCGTGCAGAGAAAAGCTTTTTTAAAATAAAAATATAATCTTATAAACACTATGAATGCTGCAGAACATTATTCACAAAAATAAATATTTGAACTGGAGTGGGAGTACTTTAGATGTTAAAGAATATAAAACATTAAGGAAAGGCAAAGTGTTTGGCAGTAATATGCCAAGTGATGAACTTGGAGTTTACAGTAGAAATAATCCAATCCAATCCAATTTTATTTATAAAGCGCATTCACAAGGCATTACAACCAAACAAGGCGCTGTACACTAAAAATGTTGGTTAATTAAACAGGCGTTATATAAACATGTCGAACACAGATAAAAGATAAAAAGGAAATACAACAAAATTCCCAAAAATAACAGCTAAAAATCATTAAGACACAGGGTGAAGTAAAAATGGGAAAAAAAAAACATTTTACAAAGAACCTCAATAATACGGAAGTCGATAATTGTGGAGTCAGTTTATAAACAGTGCAGATGTCAGTGAGGTTCATAATTATGTTGTATAAGCTAGGTTGAAGTAGTGAGTTTTCAGGCGTGATTTAAAAATGCTAGCTGTTGGTGCTAGCCTCACTAGCAGTGGTAATGCGTTCCACAGCTTGGGTGCACAGACAGAGAAAGCCCTCTCTCCACGGCTTTTTAAACGTGCATTGGGAACAGCTAGGAGGAGCTTATCTTCAGACCTGAGAGCACGCGGCGGGTTGTAGTAATGGACAAGTTCACACAGATATGGAGGAGCTTGATGGTTCAAGGATTTGTAAGTGAGAAGCATAATTTTGAAGTTTATCCTGAACTGCACGGGAAACCAGTGGAGAGATATCAGAATTGGAGAAATGTGTTGTCTTCTGTCAGCTCCAGTCAGCAACCTAGCTGTTGAATTCTGGACCAGCTGAAGTCTAGAGAGCTGCTTTACTGATGCCATATAAGCAGGAGTTGGAGTAATCCAGCCTTGAGGTGATAAAAGTGTGGACCACCGATTTCAGAAGACGTACACTCAGGATGTGCTTTAGTTTTGAGATGCGTCTTAGTTGGTAAAAACATGATTTAACTGTGTTATTGACCTGGGCATCCATCTTCAGAGCCTGGTCCATTTTTACTCCAAGGTTGGAGATTACAGAGGATACATTAGGTGAGAGATAGTTGAGGTCAGGTTGTTGAGTTGCCGTGATACTGTTAGGACTGAAAACGATTAAGTCAGTTTTGGAGTCATTGAGATGGAGGAAGTTGTCAGCTAGCCATTGCTTGACCTCAAGGATACAATCAGACAGAACTTGCGTTGACTGAGTTGGCTTAAATGAAAAGTAGATTTGACAGTCGTCAGCGTAAAGATGGTATGAGACAGCGTGCTTTCTGAAAATGGCTCCTAAGGGCAGTATATAGAGGTTGAACAGTAACGGGCCGAGAATTGAACCTTGTGGGACACCCCAACGTAGAGGCTGTGACTCTGATGAACAGCCGTCCAACATGACCCTAGCAGACCTGTTACAAAAGTATGACCTAAACCAATCCAGGGCAGTGCCTGAAATGCCAGCCCAAGTGTGAAGTCTTGTGATCAAAATGTCATGATCGATCGTGTCGAATGCTGCAGATGGATCCAAAAGTACCAGAACCACATGGAAACCTGAATCTAAAGCCAGAAAAATGTCATTAAACAACCGAACGTGAGCAGTTTCAGTGCTGTGCTGTTGTCTAAAACCAGACTGACAGGTGTCCATTACCTGATATTCATTTAGATGGTTCACCAACTGTTATACACTACTTTCTCAAGGACCTTAGATAAAAACGGTAATTTGGAAATTGGTCGTAGATTAGAGTAATCGGTGGGATCGAGGCCGGGTTTTTTCCAGATTGGTTGTAGAACAGCGTGTTTAAAGGCACGAGGAACTTCAGCCAATGTCAAGCTACAATTTATAATGCGTAGCACGTTATTGCTAATTAAAGGAAACACCTCTTTCAGGAGTCGAGGTGGGATAACATCATCAAATAATAAATAACAAATAACATGTAAAGTAACATGTAAAAATGCTACTGAAATATGGTCGTTGAAGTAGCAATGCGGGAGAAGAGGTCAGGTAACACTTTACAAGCCTAATCAAAGCATAAGTTAATAGATAACTCCCCTCTCATCCAAACCCGGGCTAACATCATTCAGAATTAACCATAAGCAAATAAGAAAAGTTGTAAGCCTCATCTTAAAAGTAGACAAGGTGCCTGCCTCATGGACTAAAGCTGGGAGCTGCTTCCACAGGAGAAGAGCCTGATGACTGAATGATCTGCCTCCCATCTTATTTTTCGATATTCTAGGAACCACCAGTGAACCATGTAAAAATATTTACTTTTAATGTTTAGTCTTCAGGGGTGGGGGGGGTGGGGGGAACAGCAAAGTTAATGTTCAGAGTAAGCTATGATGTTCTGATCCTGCTTGTCATGGTCCGCGTCTGCCCCCTCCTTTATGTGTCTCCTGATGTTTCTCCATCCTCTCTAGTTTCCCTTCTGTGTCTCATAGCGCCCTCATGTGTCCTTTGTCTGCATCTCTATATTGTGTCTTCTGTTTGTAGGCCTTTTTATCATTCCCTCAGGTCCGGTGTTCGTTTAGTTATCCTCTGTCCCTCCAGTTGCAGCTCCAGCCTCTTGTTCCCAAGCCCAGTATATGTGTGTGTGAGTTATTTATGTCTCTCTCTCTCTCTGTGTGTGTGTGTGTGTGTGTGTGTGTTAGTCCTTCCCGCAGCCTTTTAGTTTGGATTTGTCGTTTTAGGTTTATCTGTCCTCCTTTGGTTCTGTTTCCCCATTTAGGTAATTATTGTCACCTGTCTTCCCTCCAGCCCTCACTCCACACACCTGCTTCCTGTTCCCTTAATTACTCATCCCTGTTATTTAAGCCCTGTCTTGTCTTTGTCTTGTGTCGGTCCATTGTGGTAATTCTGTCAGTCTTCTCGTGTTGTCTCTAGTGTTTTCCTGGCTTCCAGTGTCTCTTAGTCTTGAGTGTTTTTGATCTCCTGCTCAGCCCTTTTTGGATATATTGGTTTTTTGGCTCCAGCCCACTTGGATATATTTTTTGTTTCATTCATCCTAATAAAAGGATGTTACTTTATATCATCTCTTGCCTCGTGTCATCTTGGGTTCCTGCATTTTGGGTCCTACCAACACCGAAACGTGACACCGCTTGTGTTCTAGTCTTATTTTAATGTTCATCATTTAAGTGAGTATAATAGTTTGAAAAATAAAGTTTTTTTGTGCAATAAATGGTGTAAAATACCTCTTTTGACAGGGCCAACCTGGAAACAAAGGAGAAAAGGTCAGTATTCTAATTTATTTTCCGAGTTAAGGGGAATGAGTAACCCCCAAACTTAGAATGGGGAATATCTTTCGGAGTAAACAAAATATTCGTCATGGGAACTAATCAATTTTCCAATAGTTTCTTGATGTCTTTCATACATGGTTTTATAAATACATGGGTAGTGAATGTTGTAACAGTTTATGTCAAGCGAAAAGCCTGTGGCGCGTTTATGTCAGACCGTTTGATTTAACTTGGATCCCAGATGAGATAGATGCTTGAAGTCTTGCCCTCCACCAAGAATGCTTACAGTTTGTGTTTGTCAGGGAGAAAAAGGAGAACGTGGAGCTCCTGGTACAAAAGGAGGAACGGTAGGAATCATGTTTTAGTTTCAGCCAACAGTCATTGTAATGATTTTCTGTGCTGCATGTAGAAATTGTGATGTTTGTTCACAGGGGCTGGATGGACCTCCTGGACCTGCAGGCTCCAGTGGAGATCAGGTAATTTTTTCCGTAGTTTTATTGCACTGATTTTTTTCACATAACTTAAACTCTCCATTGCTTTTCTTCTCTGACATTGTCTTCAGATACAGCAATATCCTTTTTTTTAGAATCAAGCATTAATTCATTAAACAAACGTCTAATAGGCAGATTGAGTTTCCACTTGTAGCAGTTACTACGAGGGTGATACACAACACCACACACACATCTTATTTACACAGGTTGTATTGTTCCCTTAATCAGAGTGCGTCCTCCATTCCTACTCCATTGGAACCTGTAGATGTAAAGGGGTGTCTGATTACTGAACCATTCCACCTGCTGTGCGCCATTTTCCTGCTGCTGCCTTGGCTGCTTTGCTTTTACCTTGCACACCGCCAGCCACTCTAATCTGGCTTTGTGTTTGGTTACATAAACCTTTGTAAGAACAAATATTTTAGCTTCACACACCAGAAAAAAACACAATGAAATCTAAAATCTTGGGCTCTTAACGCTACACCTACAGCTCTTTTATATAGACCGTAACCCATTTTTTCCATTGCACGTGAAAGCGCCACGAAACATTTTACACAACAGTAAGCCACCCTTATAGTAGATGAGTTCCTTTCGATGGCAGCAAAGTGTAATGTGTTGGACGTGCCACCGAAGCAAGGGGACACTGTCATTATGTTTTGAGTCTATTTTTTACATGCTACGCTTCAAAAACACGTCAAACTCCGCCGTTTAGATCGCACCAGACAGGAAGTCAAACACACAAGCAGTTTAAAACATCTGGAAACTTTCAAAATAAAAGTCACATGCAGTTAAACGTACAGTTGAAACCCCCGTGGTCTGTGGAAACATAACAGAAAATAAACCACAGACCTTTTTTGATACATGTAGCTGTCTTTCTCCTAGCTGTTTTTTGTGTGTAGACTTTAGAAATCATGTGTGGTATTGCAATTCTCACAGGATCAGCTGTGTGGAATGCTTTCGCTCCTGTTTTGCATCAGAATTGCTCCCAGTTGGGAATGAGTTTGCGGGTAAAACGCAGCTATTACATTACGCGACCACTCTTATGGCCGGTGGAAAGAAGTTGTGTGTCTCACAGAAACAGAGGTAAAACAGCAAACCCTAGCCCTACAAGTTAGGCGTAGCAAGATGTGTATGGCAAGGCAGGACTTATCGGCTAGCATCTTTGGCTGGTATCAAAACACTGCTCCTGATTGAGTTTTCGATGGCAAATTAGTTTTGGGTAAAGGGCCAGTGTAGGGATATTTCAGATGTCTTTATGATGACTCTTACATTAGGGAACCAAAATACCAGTCTCGGGATACAGGGTCTCCCACTGAAGCCAGAACCATGGGAGAGTCTGGTTGTCAAACACCTTGTTGCTGGGTCGTCGTGATGTCTTGCGAGGTACAGCCGCTTGCAGAGGGTTCTGCTACTGGGTAGCCATCGAAGAGACATGTTCAATTGCTTTAGGGACATTTGATATTATTACACTGATGGAGAAAGAGCCTGAGACTGAGAGGTACTGACATTATGTAGCTCAGGTAACCTGCTCAATCAGCATTGGCTGTAGAATGAATCTCCTGCAGATGTTCGGGACTATTCCACTCTATTCTCATGGCAGAAAATTGGAGTTTTATCCTGTGGGCAAGAGGATGGTCTCCGTATCCCTTCAGGTGGACAAATGGGTGCTAATGGAAGGTCAACCATCTAATTTCATGTTGGGAACAATGGTATATGACCTAGGGGGAGTGTTTGTTGTGGCGCTCATCCTTGAGCCTTCTAGTTGGTGTCTAGGGTAAGAGGGGCCAGGAGGCTGAAGGAGCCTCAACGCCTGGCTGGACTCAAGGTGCTGCTGAACGGTATCGGCAGTCCAAGAAGTCCAAGGTTTCGATGTGTGCGGATGTAAAAGCTCAGGTTTGCTGTGAAAGATTTTTTTAGCAGTTGCAACTCATGTAAGTAAAACCATTTACATTTCTGAGCATATGTTTCTCCCCCGTGTCCTTAAATGCTGTCAATTTACTAAAAACAGTCCAGTTTAGTCACATGACACCAGAGGCAGATACTTCCCCGTAGGTAGACGTACATTTGTGGGTCACAGAGAACACTTCTGAAGCAGACAGGTTTGATTGTGTGGACTAATCGAAAGATTCCTGTCTCCTTTCTCTTTTGTCTGTGTTGAAACAATCATTGCTGTGCTAAAAGCGACACACTCAGAGTTCGTCTCTTGCTTTGCACTTGTGGAATGTGAGATGTGGATTAGGTATTATCCCTCTCCTAATGTAGGCTTTTTAAAGCAGGGAATCCAAGCTTGTAATGTTTGGTTGAAGTCTTTAAGCAGACGTGGTCCCAGAGGATTAGGATTTCAGCTCATATTATCCATTGCCTCACATCTTCAATGCTCGTTACCCTTTCCAGCATCACTGGAACAACAGTACAGGCTGTTGGGGTGCCATCAGGTCTCATGTCGATCAAGTCTGCCTTCAGTTCGCATGAAATCCCTCTACAGATACCACCAAACCCTTATCGATGTCATTTTTGTTACAGCCATTCAACATGAAGTACCAATAGCCAACAAAGATGTGTTGATTCTGACATTGCAAAGATTTAGCTTCTAGCTGTTTAAATCACCACGTTTTTTCTCTAATCTGCCCTCTCTAATTTCTAATTTCTCTAATCTGAATGAATGTGTGATGTGCACTACTCCCGGTTCAAAGGTGTCCAAGAACAAAGCTAACTGACTGGAAGAGGATGAGACTCAAGCCTGATTTATCCGCAATGGAGAGACGCACACAATGTTGGAAAGGTTTTCACATTTAAACTTCTGTTCAGGCAGCGGAGTGTTGCAAAACAATTCCCCGCCAGGACAACAGAAGGCATAGCACTGTTTTGTGGTATCCTGCCACCGTAACACTTGTGTATCTGGTCCCCGAGTGTAGCCTTCATTCTCCTCCACTTCCTCATGCGTTTGCCACCTCCAAACCGACATTTCCCGTTGTTTCCATCCATGTTTGCTCCTTATTTTGTACTCGTTCACTCACGGGTGAATAAATGTTATTTTCTGACTTTTTCCATGATCCATTCTTCAATCTGTTTGAGGTCTGCCACTAAATATCTGTTTGCTTTTGAACGGAGCTACAGCTGCGCTGGTGACGAATATACAGGAAGTGGCGTCCTGACCAATCACAAGCTTGAGTTCTCTGTCACTTTCGACGGATGTTTAAAATTTTGGACATGTCTCCGTCACCCTCTGTGAGCCTGTTGGAGAGCTCTTGAGCTGACGCATAATGGTGTTGCGTGTCTCTGCACCGACGCAGGCGGAGAAGCATAAATCAGGCCTTATGCTCCCTAAACAGGAATCTGTGTTGAGTGTGTATGAAATGTTCAGATGTACCTCACGACTGGTCAAACAAATAAAAACAATCCATAACTCTTGAGGAGACTTAATCTTCGTTTAACACTTATTTGCCCAAAATACTCAACACCAACTAATGTGCAGGAAGCTTCGTCGCCTAGGACTCTTTCTTTTGACAAATCTGACATCTTTTGTTAGTCAAACTTTTCTCTGTTGCATCTGCAAAAATGAGAGATGATTTCCCTTCGCAGCTGAATTTGCATTTACTATCAAGAATTCTTTTCTTCGTTTGGACAGCATGTGAGCTCTTCCTACATGATCCAGCTGTTGATGAATATGGCATAAACTCAGGCCCAGCATCCAATAATGGGTCAAGTTTGTAGAGAGAGCTTCCTTTAGGGAATGCTCTGAGGCCTTTGCAGAATTTAGATTTAAATTTTGTATATCCAAATGTCCTTACTTTAAAATAAATAAAAACTCAAAAAATGCAGTTGGAAATAACACAAGATCACATGTAAAAATGCAAATATAACCCCTCTTTCTATTTTTTTAGTTTTTGTATTATATATCAGAAGTTTTGTTCACTTTAATGCCTTTTTGTGTTTGTTTCTCTTTCAGGGAACCAGGGGGAAAGCTGGAGACCTGGGTCCAGAGGGTCCTCCTGGACCTAAGGTAAGAAATCTATAAAATATTTCTAATACCTTTGATCTTATCTTTCTTTTTTAAAGCTATAGTTTTTTTACCCATTAAAAGGGTGAGCGTGGACTAAGGGGTGCACCCGGACCTCCAGGAGAAACCGGTGTTGGATTCCCTGGTCTCAAGGTTGTGGATTGGTTTGTATATAATGTTTTAGTAAATGGTGATTTGTTTTAGAGGGCCAGTGAATTGTTTATTTCTAACATTCTTTTCAGGGTGAGAAAGGAAACCAAGGGAGACTAGGTCCACCTGGACTAATGGGCATCGGTGAGCCAGGAATGCCGGTTAGTCAGGAGGGCACGAGCTGCTCTTGTGTTTAAACGTGTGTGCATTCTTTAGATTTCTGCAGGATGCACAATGCAAAGCTGAATTCTAAATACCAAAATGTTCAAGCTAACACTGGACCAGTAGTTGATCCATGCAGAGATGATGGACAGATCTCTTCTGCAGATTTGTGTGGTTTCACTGCTTTCTGAAATTGTTTTAAGGGTCCAGCAGGGCCTTCAGGGTTACAGGGGTCTCCTGGATTTCCTGGTGAGGGAGTACCAGGGCCTAAGGTAAGTTGCTGGACAGACCATTTTTACAGATTTCATATGTTTACTTTATATTATATGTATATGTTCTCTTTCTTAACATTTGTTTTGATGTCTCACTATGGGATATGCCCCTCTGTGGATTCCTCAGAAGCACTTATCTCAATACGCCAATCCTGATTGGCCAGTGGCCGTGACGTACGAGTCACCTGCTACTATAAGTAGCAAGCATCTCAACGCATGTAGGTACAGTTGTAAACATAAAGTTGTCTCACCTCGTCACCCACAGCATTTGACATCTCACGTGTGAGATGGTTGACCTGGAGAAACAAAGAAAGTAGGTAGGCAGCATTTCTAGATGTAAAATTTTATCCGTTTTCTAAGTTAATGTCGTCGTAGTCTTCCTCCACTTATCTGGGTCCGGGTCGTGGGGGCAGCATCCCAACTAGGGAGCTCCAGACCGTCCTCTCCCCGGCCTTCTCCACCAGCTCCTCCGGCAGGACCCCAAGGCGTTCCCTGACCAGATTGGAGATGTAACCTCTCCAACGTGTCCTGGGTCGACCCGGGGGCCTCCTGCCGGCAGGACATGCCCGAAACACCTCCCCGGGGAGGCGTCCAGGAGGCATCCTGACCAGATGCCCAAACCACCTCAACTGGCTCCTTTCGATCCGGAGGAGCAGCGGTTCTACTCCGAGTCCCTCCCGAATGTCCGAGCTCCTCACCCTATCTGTAAGGCTGAGCCCGGCCACCCTACGGAGGAAACTCATTTCGGCCGCTTGTATCCGCAATCTCGTTCTTTCGGTCATTACCCAAAGCTCATGACCATAGGTGAGGATTGGGACGTAGATCGACCGGTAAATCGAAAGCCTGGCTTTCTGGCTCAGCTCCCTCTTCCCCACGATGGATCGGCTCAGCATCCGCATCACTGCAGATGCTGAACCAATCCGCCTGTCGATCTCCCGATCCCTCCTACCCTCACTTGTGAACAAGACCCAGAGATACTTAAACTCCTCCAACCTCAGGTCACCCTTCTTAAAGATGGGGACCACCACCCCGGTCTGCCACTCCACAGGAACTGCCCCGATGACCATGCAATGTTGCAGAGACGTGTCAACCATGACAGCCCTACAACATCCATAGCTTTGAGATACCCAGGACGAACCTCATCTTCCCCTGGGGCTCTGCCGCTGTGTAGTTGTTTGACTCCCTCAGCAACTTCTGCCCCTGAGATTGGACAGTCCATCCCCAGGTCTCCCGGCTCTTGTTCCTCCTCAGAATGTGCATAGGTGGGATTGAGGAGCTCCTCAAAGTATACCTTCCACCGTACGACTATAGCCTCAGTTGACGTCAGCAGCGCCCCATACCCACTGTAAACAGTGTGAGCGAGTTGCTGCCTTCCTCTCCTGAGGCGCCGGACAGTTTGCCAGAACCTCTTTGGAGCCGATCGATAGTCTTTCTCCATGGCCTCACCAAACTCCTCCGACGCCCGAGATTTTGCCTCTGCAACTGCCACTGCTGCATCCCGCCCGCTTCGCTATCCGGTACCTGTCTGCTGCCTCCGGAGACCCACAGGCCAGCCACGCCCTGTAGGCCTCCTTCTTCAGCCTGACAGCTCCCCGAACCTCTGGCATCCACCAGCGGGTACGGGGGTTGCCACCACGACTGGCACCGGCCACCTTACGACCACAGCTGGCAACAGCCACCTCAACAATCGCAGAGTGGAACAAGGCCCACTCGGAGTCAATGTCCCCCACTGCTCTCGGGACGCGGTCAAAGCTCTGCTGGAGGTGGGAGATGAAGACCGTCTTAACAGGTTCTTCTGCCAGGCGTTCCCAGCAGACACTCACTATGCGTTTGGGTCTGCCAGGTCTACGCGGCATGTTCCCTTGCCATCTGATCCAACTCACCACCAGGTGATGATCAGTTGACAGCTCCACTCCTCTCTTCACTCGGGTGTCCAAAACATACGGCCGTAGGTCAGATGATACGACTACAAAGTCTATCATCGACCTGTGACCTAGGCTGCCCTGGTACCAAGTGTACCGATGGGCATCCTTATGTTCGAACATGGTGTTCGCTATGGCCAAACTGCGGCTCGCACAGAAGTCCAATAATCAAACACCACTTGAGTTCAGATCAGGCGGGCCATTCCTCCCAATCACACCCCTCCAGGTCATGCTGTCATTGCCCACATGAGCGTTGAAGTCCCCCAGCAGGACAATGGAGTCCCCTGATGGAGCACTATCTAGCACTCGTCCCAGGGACTCCAAAAAGGGTGGGTACTCTGAACTGATATTTGGCCCATAAGCACAAACAACAGTCAGGACCCGTTCCCCGACCCGAAGGCACAGGGAAGCTACCCTCTCGTCCCCCGGGGTAAACCCCAACACACAGGCAGAGAGACTTGGGGCTAACAAAAAGCCAGCACCTGCCCTCCGCCTCTCACCCGGATCAACTCAAGCAAAGGAGAGAGTCCAACCCCTCTCAAGGACTTGGGTTCCAGAGCCAATGCAATGTGTCAAGGTGAGTCCGACTATATCTAACCGGTACAGCTCATCCTCTGCCACAAGCTCCTGCTCCTTCCCCGCCAGCGAGGTGACATTCTGTGTCCCAAAAACCAGTTTTCTTGTCCGGGGATCGGACCACCATGGCTCCTGCCTTGGTCTGCCACCCGATCCGCATTGCACCGGACCCTTCATGTTCCTCCTGCGGGTGGTGGGTCCACAGTTGGATGAGCCCATGTATCCGGTTCGGGCTGGGCCCAGCCGGGCCCCATGGGCGAAAGCCCGGCCACCAGGCACTCGCTCACGGGCCCCAACCCCAGGCCTGGCTCCAGGGTGGGGCCCTGGTAACCCTCCGGGCCGGGTACTCTGACTCTTTGAATTTACATCCATGAAAGATCCTGTTAATGTGTCCCATGTAACAGCTGTATACACAGAGAAGGATTTCATTCAACATACAATACAACTCACCAAGCCCTCGGCTGGCTTTCTTTTCCTTCAGTTCTTGTAATGTTGGGACAGGGCCACCAGACAACAGCCCAAGCCTTTGTGGGTCATCAGGTGCAAGAGCCTGCGTTTCTGCCATCCCCCTTGGAGCCAACATTCTGGAATGGAGAATGGCGCACTGTAGATCTGGAATGTACTTGTAGGTTTTGGGTTAATTGGTGTATAGCCGCCACATCTTGGATCTTTTGTTAAAAATCCTGCCATACCTAGGAGTACATACAAACACATAAAAAAATAGATGTAGCTGGAGGAATCACATTCTGTACTACATTTGCCACAAGTAATGATGTTTAAAATATTCCTCACAGTGAAAACAAAATGACTTTAGTATTGCTGGTAGACTGTGATAAGAAACGTACTGATGTGAGCCATCTGCTTTGGTTAGTTCTCCTCGGTGTAGGTGGTAGCTATAATCCCGCCCTGCCAACTTGGTCCGAGCGGAGTACACTGGTGGTGTGAAGGAGAAACGCTTGGAGGCATACATAAGTTATGAAAGGACTCCAGGTCTGAGGTAGAGTGCTGCAGAGCTCTTTGGAATCCATTCTTTATCCCTATCTTCCTCCAATGGACCATGTCGACAGGCCCCGAAGTACCACTGATGTTCATCCGTCACATGATGCAGAATTCCAGTCCATAGATCCTGTAATACAAATTATTAAGTTAGTGAATCATGTTCAATATGAAATTATCAGAAAAATACCATTTCCACAATATCTTATAAATTATATCTAGGAAATAAAACTGACAATGAAATCTTCAAAAGATGTGGCTTCCTTACAGCACTACCAAAAGTGGTTGCAGATGTCTCTGCTCCAAATCAGAAGCAGGGCACAGTCCTTCTCTCGTCCAGCCTGAAAAAATAAAGACCATAGGAATGAAATAATTTGTATCTTACTAGAATAAAAGAAGAGCAGGAACAGCACACACACAGCTTGAATCTTTTTACAGAGGTTTGTTGCACCGTGCCAGATATCCAGGCTGTGTTTATCAGCATCTCTGTAATTCACACACACACACACACACACACACACACACACACACACACACACACACACACACACACACACACACACACACACACACACACACACACACACACAAATAAATACACAGCTAACTCATGGTAATTGGTATGCCTTTTTCTATCCAACATTCTTACGCACATGCACAACTCAGTTTGTTTATTAGGAACTTACCGATCTGACAGCGAATTCGGAATTGTTGATATATCTGGAGGCTTTGGTCTTGACCACTGAGTGTGAGTCAGCAGTGTGGATGTGATGTTATCTTAGCTGTAACAAATATAGAATTTTAAACATATTAGTTCTTTGTTCATACAAAATCCAAATATAACAAATATTTCATATGGATGTCCACAAATAATTTTTGAAGTATATTCTTCTGAAGGTCATCCAGCTCTACATTTGAAACTATGTCTAATAAATTTATGCTATATTAAATACGACATTCCCTTACGTGTTTTACTTTATTGTTTGATTCATGCATCATGACATTGTCTTTAATGTCTCCGCTTAAAGATGTGTTCAGATTCAGATGCAGCAGCCCCCTGTCCGCATGTCAAAAAAATAAACTAAACGGTGCTTTGCGGATTGATGAGCCGACTCTTTCCACTACACTCTCGAAGGATTCTGGATACAGATGGCGGAATGGTCGGAAGGATTCTGTGTCAGCAAAGCGCATCTCTTTGGGTAGATAGGCATACAATACTAAACTGCTCCTTCTTTGCAGCCACCGTACACATACTTTCCAAAACTTGAAATGACGATTGCGGCGATGCATCAACAATAAAACAAGTAGAAGCATTTCCCCTATTTATAGCTCACACGCCATTTGTTTATTTTTTCACATGCAGACCGGGCGCTGCCATGTTGGAATCACGTCAGTAGAGAATGCACTTTGTTTGGCCAGTAGAATATTTCAGAAGGTGATGTGCGCACACAAATATAAAACAGGTTTTTATTTTCATACAGTTCTTCTAGCAGTAATCTCAAATGC